CCCAAGATATTCATTAATATAAAATTTTTTTTTGAAATTTCTTCTTCTTCAATATATAAGAGCATCAGGTTGTAAAATAATAAAAAAATGCCTAAAAAAAGAAAGGTAAGCTATAGTCAGGCCATAATTACTTATTTTATTTTTATATTACATATTTTCAATACTATAAAAAATCAATAGAGACATGCTTTGAAGGATATTACCAATGAACTGGAACATAAGAAACCCAAACCAAATGAAGCTTTACAATTATTACTGCAATTACACCCTGATTTAAATAGTCAAAAAATATACTTTTTTCCTTGTATGAATGTACATGAAGAGGGAATACTTCTTTATGACCAAAAGGACAATCTTTATTATGTTCATGACATCTTAAGTGGCAAAGAAATTTTACATTTTTTTTTCTTGGATTTCATTTTAAGAGATAGTAAAAAGCTATATAAGGGAAACCATTCTCCATTGGCTACAATTTTTTTAAAACCTGATCCATTTTCTGCTAATATAAGTAATATTCTTAGAGAAAAGGAACAAAAACATTTTAAACGAAAAGAAATTCTCTCTGTGAAAGAATTTCAAACTCAAATACAACAAAGAGTTCATGAAAATTCATTATATGCATCAGTTATTATCAAAGAAATATCTGGGGGTGTTGAATTAATGGAAATTAAATATAATGATACGATTAAATGAAAATTAATTATTGAATGGAAAGATACAATACTTATACACAAAATAATAATAGGTAAAGATTTTGGGATGGATAAATTGACATTTCAAACAATTGAGGAAATTGAAATATAATCGATAATTTTTTTCAAATGAAAATATACAAAGGTTTTTTAACTAAAGGTATAAATGTTTTATCTTATGTAATTAAATATTTAAATGTAATATCTAATTAATCAATATTATCATAAATAAGGGTTTAAAATTGTACCAAAGGTTTGTGGAATGTGGCTTAGATGAAATGAATTAGAAGATTCTTGTCATCAACCTTTAGCGATATTAGAAAATAAGGACTCTTCAGAAGAATGTTATCAGCATATAAACTGTGAACTATTAATTACCCTTGACTTTGCATGTAATAATTGTAAAAAACAAAAGAAACACTGAATAAAATTCATCTCTGGTATCAAAATGGTGTTATAGGCAAAAGTATTGCACATTTATCTAAACAATTATTAACTGAAATAATCTTAAAACAGTATAATGTAAGCAGTTACATATGCTTATATTTGTAATATATATATACATGAAATTAATATGTATATATTTTATTAGATAATCAAGCAAAAATCTGTTGAAATCAAACAAATACGAGAAAAACTTAAGGCATATATTGAAAAGGAAGAAGCACCAATATCTACAAAAATGAGTAATTTAATAGAAAATGTGTCAGAAAATGTAGTTAATAATCAGATAGATATTAGTAATTTAAATCCAATTCTTCAAAAGTTAATATGAATTCAGTGTAGCAACAAAGACAAAATGAAATACCATCCTATGTAATATTTTAAAATTGTATTTTAATTATTTTAATTGTAATATTGATTTTAATAAATGTTTAATAATTTATATGTATAATGTATGTAGGTTTATTTGTTGGGCTATATCAATTTATACTAGAGCAGGATAGACCAATATTGATTCAAATTATATGCCTAAAGAAATAATTGTACTGGATCCAGCTGAAAATTACAAATTTGAATATATTTCAGGCTGGATATTATACAAGTTAATATGTGTTGATACAAAAATTAATGCACATTTAAAAAAGGATGTTTTAAAAAAAGTACTACAATCATTATGTGAAGTAAAGAAAGAGATTATTCAAACTTTACTCACAAAACAGTATTATTTGCCAACTAAAAGATTTATGGTGTTTATGTATAAAGTTGAATCATTGACATTAGATTTATTTCAATATTTGAACCTAATATTTTATTGTATATAAACAACAATCAATACAACAATTGCTATCTTATAAATGCATTTCAATCTTTAATTA